CGCTTAATCGAACCCTCCCACCGCTATCAGGTGACTACGTGGAGTTGGATGTTGTGATACAATGACTTCTCACCTTAATGGAAAATTAGCGCAAGATGAAATTCATTTTCAGTTTGCGGTTGGGTTTTACGATAAATACTGTATTGCTCTGGGAGTAACACTAAGCAGCATAAAATCTGTTTTTTCTCCACCCCGATACATAATCTTGCAGTCGACTTAACTGAAAAATGATTGCCTAATTCTAACATCATTTCCTCTTTTTTATTTATCAATTGTGCAGCTGCCCGATAAGAAGATGGACCTTGTTAAGTAGATTCGCCCGCTTGTTATGCTTCATTGCGTTCATGGTAACGCTAAGCACAAGAGGACGGGAAGATTGCATTAATTGCCATCTACATTACTAATCATCACTGCCCGCATTCATCATGCGCTCAGGCCGTCAGGGATGATTAGACAATTGGTAACCTATGCAAGACAAAAAAGATGCCGTTGCATACATGTCTAGAAATCCCGACAACGAAGGATGGACGGGCCTTTAGAAACCCTTTGTAAATCACGCCATTTTTAAAGTTCCGACTTTAGCTGCTTTTTCTCACTGTAAACGCAGCGCCCCAGCAAATGTGATTCACTTGTAGCTTGTTATACTCTTGTTTAAGTACTATAACTTCATATTGCGCAACTGGAAAAATGGTATAATGGTGTTTTACTGAAGGGGAATGTATTAAAAGCTCTTTGATGCATGCAACCTCTCTTTTGGTGTTAAAAATAGTATGAATAATGTTTATCGAGGCAAACAGAAGACTTGCTTGGCTTTTACAATGGAGGAAGGGAAATGGGCGTTCAGTGGTTTGCAATTTTTGAGGCAGAGGAAAACCTGTTTACTTCATGTGAAAATAGAGCCCCAGACACTTGCAGTAGCCGCCTCTGGTCCCCGCTTCGTTGATTTTGACTAACCGTAGACATGCTGTATTTCTCTTTATCTTCTTTGTGAATTCACTCGCCGGTAGTGTGCAGAAGTGATTCTCCCAAAAACATAATTATTGTCTTCTAAGAGGCAAGATAATACCTCTTTCTGTAATTCAAAAAAGAAGTCATGCTAAGCCATAAAACGTC